TGGTGCATTCCGGCCCCTCCGCCCCTCCTCCTCCTCCTCTCACCGGGCAGGCAGCGTGCCACTCAAAATCGGCTCACATGCCGTGTTTGGCACGCGTGCCGTAGGTTGCCGACCCCTGGTGTAAACAAAGCGCCCCCTTTCCAGTCCAGACGCAGGGCCCAGACACCACAGATCCTCCAGCCCATCGGCCTGGGCAGAATTGTGCCCTACGGTCTATTCCCCAGGGCAGCCGAGCAAGGGACCTTCCGGCACAGCAATCTGCAGACTAGGCCACAGTCTGGCCATGCCCAGCCAGGACTTTCCCTGCAGCCCTGGCTACATCCCCACTTTCCCAGCCTCCCCCCATTGCCCTAGTTATAACCCTGTATTGCTCACCCCTGCTGGACCCTGGGATCCCAGCCCTAGACATGCTGCCCAGGTGGACCCTTCTGCCTCATGCCAGCCCTCTCATTCCCCAGTTTCCTACAATGGTTGAGGCCTTCTCCTGAGCTCCCTCCAGTTCATCAGTACCTGGTGCCTGCAGAATGGCCCCTCTAGAATCTAGGGCCCAGCTTGGATTGAACGCGGAGGGCAAATTCCCTGCTCGCTCCAGGGCAGTGGTTTGGGGGAGGGGGAAATGGTGCCCCATCCCGGGACCAGCCTCTCCCTACCCCCAGCAGGCCATTACCTCATCCAGCACATCCTTCCTCATGAGGAAAGGCAGGTGGCGGGTGACGGTGACCAGGATCTCCTCCGCCTGCTCCCGTGCCAGGTGCGGCAGCAGCCGCGCGGTCAGTTTCTTCCCCTTCCGCACACAAAGGACCTGCAGGAACTCATCTTCCGCCTCCCTGTGGGAGAGCCCTGAGCTGCCCAGATCCTGTAGGACCCAGCACCCTCCCACCTACCCTTGCTCCACTGGCAGCGGGAAGTGCCGCCAGGGAAGCAGGCAACTGAGGTGACAGGGAGGGGCCTGTGCCTCCAGCAGGGGAGTTTAACAGGATCCTGCATGGCTTGGGTGTGGGGAGGAAGGAGGAGCCAGGAGAAGGCAGCACAGGGCCCCAGTGTCCAGCAGAGGAGCTGGCTCCCATCAAGTGGGCAGCTGGCTTAGTCCCAGAGTATTTGATGTGGCACAGCTGGATGTGGAGTGCTGAGTTTGAAGACAGGAATGTTTCAGATTCCCAAACCCGCTAGTGCCAGGCGACAGGGAACAGGGCGTTCCCATCTGGCCCCAGAGATCTGCTGTTCTAACAGCATCTCCATGCGTGTGGGGCGTGCTTCACCATGGGGCTGGGACCTGCACCCTCCCCAGATGGCCCCTAGGCCCCCTTCCCCAGGGGCCAGCCGTGCGCAGGGACAGTGCACAAATGTGCACCAGCAAACTCACTCCTCACTGTCGCACGCCCTGATCTTCAGGGCCTGGTAGATGCGCCCCACTTCATGGCTCTTCTTCTCACGGAAACGGGGGTGCTGCTCTTCGGGCAGCAGGCTCATCTTCCGCTGAGTCTCCTCCACTTCCAGGAGCTGCAGGAACATCTGAGGAAGCAGGAGAGAAGCTAGTAGGTGGGCCGCGGGGGGGTGGGAGGAATAATGAGATCCCATATGAGCCTGTCCGGATAGACAGTAGCCCTACACTCTATATTCTTCCCCCAGCACTCAGCCTGTGACAAGGAGCGAGCTGCCTGGCTGTGAGAGACAAGCAGCTGGGACATCCCAAGAGGTCCCAGCCACAGCTCCTACGTACAACAGAGACTTCCCATCGGGGTTGGGGAGGGACCTGGGACCCTTGGGTAAGTCTCACCCCACCCTCACTGCAAGGATCCAGGACCTCCATCAGCCAGAGGTGCTCACTCAGCCACTCAGGGCTCCTGGACTAGCTCTAATACACAGTTTCTTATGGACTTGTGAACTCTGCAGGGGACTCGGAGAAGCCAGAGATCCACTGATCCACAGCCTCTAATATTGACTATCTGACCTTCTTCAGAATAGCCCTGTGCCCTAGGTTCAAGGAGGCAGATGAATATGGCAGAGTGGAGTGTCTGCACCAAAGCCACATGCAAAGCTGGGATCTTCCACAGAACATCCCCTGGCTTTGCCCCGAGACGCTGTTGGACTCATCTCTCAAACCCTTCCTGCCCCACTTGACACTAACCCTCCCCCCAAGCATCTCTGCCCCGAGAGGCTGGACACGCCAAGTTCCAGGCCACACCGGGTTTGCAGAAGTTGGAGGGAACCGATATCCAGCTTCTAATGAACCCGCCTTCCGCCGCTGCTGTTCCCCTGCCCTTGCTCCCCCCAGCACATCAGCTGGAGGGGAAATGTCTTGCCCCGAAGCCATGGCGGTGCCTGAGGCGCCCCTCTCACCTTCTCGATTCTGTGCAGCGCCCGAAGTCGCTGGTTCCCCGCAGCCTTCAGATCCAGAGGGGAGAAGGGAAGACAACCAGTTACAACCACCACAAAACACAGCGGTCTCCAGGCCACAGTGCTGTCCCCAAGCTACTACCAGGCTTGATCAGATGTGATGGCAGCAGGACACTGAGCAGCCCACATGGGGAGCAGTTCAAAGGGCTCCTGTCAAGCTGCATGAAGCCCAGGAGCTGACCCCACCTGACCCGGCTACTTGACCTATCCCCAGTGCTGGGCTGATCTCACCAGTGATAGAGCCAGAGCCACGGGTGCTGGAGCCTCACTAGCCAGAGCAACTACAGAAGGGGGCAGGGGTCCCAGTCTCCTCCAGGAAGCTTTAAGGCAGCTGAGAAAGCTCCCACCGAGTGGCTGCACAGAGGGCCAGGGCAGGCTCAGGGGAGCACAGCCACCTCATACGTACCTCCTCCTGCAGGGCGTGGTGCACGGCATCGATGGCCCTACGGGGGCTGTAACACGTGGACACGGCAACCTGGCCCAGCGAGCCTGCAATCCGCACCACTGAAAGAGAGGCAGACATGCTGAGAACCCACCCAGGGCCCCTTCTGCCTGCCTCAGGCAGTGCCCTTCCCCTCATCCTTACCAGAGTCATAGATCTCCATCTTCTGAATGTACGGTGTGACCAGCTTGGGGGGCTCCTGCTTGTTGCGCCCCCCAAGCAGCTCCTCCTCTGCCTGCTTCCGCTCCAGCCTGTGGTAATAGGCCTGCGAAGGAAAGGACGGCAAAGCAGCTGTGAGAGGAGGCAGCAGGCTGGGCACAGGCCTGCTATGGGTCTGAGCGCACCGCAGTAGCCATGGCCCACTAGCACCGGAGGACTAGGGGTCCTTGGCCCCCCCTCCCCCACTTTTTAACAAAAGAAACATAAGAGCTGGATTCACGTCTGCTGCTGATTTTTCTTCCCTGCAGAATAATAGATTCTGCCTGGGAGGTGCTGCAATTACATCTTTGGCCCACCAGGGGCTGCTGTGGCACCAGAAGAGGGCAGCTGGCACACCACTGGAGCAGCGAGCCCTGGAGAGGGAGGGGGCACTTCGGTTTTTGCCCTTCCTCCTCCCTCCCGCCTTCCCCCCCCAAAAAAAGGTTTTGATGCCCTTGCAGTGGCCCAAAGAGGGGGAAGGGCTCCACCCAGCCCAACATCAGCCCCGGGGCTCTTGCTGGGGGGAGGAGCAGTTTAATTGGTCCGTCTGCCCCAAGTGGGTTTCTGCACCAGGAGGGGCCAGTCTAATTCTCCTGCCTCTGCCCTCAGTCCAGGGCTCCTGGCTGCCCCTTGCATCCTCCTCATCAGGCCCCATGCTCCGGGGATGGCCAACATCAGGACAGGGCACGAGTACCCTCCTCCACCCCACAGCTGGGGCAGAGCTGTGCAGCAATGGATCCTGTGGGACAGAACCAACCTAGCTGGGGAGCAGCCTGGGGATAGTGGGGGTCTGCCCGCCCAGCTGGGGCTGTGGGGGAAACCCAAGCCCCTCCCAGCCAGGGAGGTCTCTGCCCACTCTAGGGAGAGGAGGCATCGGATCCCCTCCCCCCTTCACCTGGTAATAGTAATCGTCCAGGTGAGGATTCTCACTCTGCAGCTGCATCATCTGCACCTTGATCACCCAATCCTTCTCCTTGCGTGTCATGAGCCCAGAATAGGGATCCGCCTTCGGGGACCATGCCTTCTTGGGGGAGATGCTGCAGGGCAGGAATCACCCCCCAGTGTTACTCCCTGGGGACTCCGCCTGGAGCAGCATCTGCAGCAACCAGCTGCTCCCATTGGGCCAACCCCCCATCAATTAATGGGTTCACATCAGGCTTCTGCCTGGAGATGTGGGTGGTAGCAGGGGGACTACGCAGGCCCCGGGAAGGCCTAGCAAGAGAGGAACCAATATGTGGGGAGCACAAGGGGCCCCGGGATGGGAGGGAGAGCACTGAGCACAAGGAGGTGAAAGATCCTCTGGTTGAGATGATTCTGCTGGCTGCTCCCCCTCCAGCCCCTGTGCTGCACACCTGGCACAGGCCAGCCCCCAGTCCCCTCCTGACCTCCCCCCAGGTGGGTCAGCTCCTTCACCCTGGAGCTGAGCTGGTGGCAGTGCCAGTGGGGGGGGGGAGGGGGAGGAATCATGGGCAGAGCCCCCCTCACATAGAGCTGGCCCTCTCTCCAGCCGCTTCTCACACCCGAGTCCCCCTGCCCACCCAGCACCCTCGGCAGATCTGCCTGGGTCTCAGCCCAACCTGGGGAAGGCCAGGCCACACACCTCCAATGGGAGTATTTCCAGCCATGTACATGGAGGGAGGAGCATGGGGCTGAGGAACCGATATGTGGGGAGCACCAGGGCCCCAGGGAGTGAGAGCTACCCCAGCACCAGGGTATGTCCCCAGTTGGGTGGAGGCCTGAAAGGCAGGGGGAATCCAGAGCAGGCACTGCCAGATACCCCCCAACTGGTGCCACATTAGTGGCAAGGTGCCCCTTTACAGGCAGCAGGTGCACAGAGCCTGGGACAAATCACAGGGTCACAGCTGCTCAGGCCACTGCTATGCTCTGTGCCGGCCGCAGACCACGGAGCACAGTGAGCCAGCCTGGGGCTCCATAACCCCCTATACACAACCCCCGGCTGGGATCACAGTGAGCCAGCCTGGGGCTCCGTAACCCCCTATACACAACCCCCGGCTGGGATCACAGTGAGCCAGCCTGGGGCTCCGTGATATTATGCTTAAACAAAGCACACGAGATTTTTTTATAGGGGAGAAGGCAACACGCCGCATTTATTGAGAATACAGCAGTTTGCATTTGCTTTTCAGTCTCACACACTGACACTCTCTTACCGTGACCCCCTATACACAACCCTTGGCCGGGATCACAGTGAGCCAGCCTGGGGCTCTGTGACCCCCTATACACAACCCCCGGCCGGGATCACAGTGGGCCAGCCTGGGGCTCTGTGACCCCCTACACACAACCAGGCTCACAGCAGGACACAGGCACAAACATCTAGGGGGAGACATCTCAAGCTTCCTTGCCCTGGGCATGGCACTCACAGCCTAGTGCCATCTCCTAGGGGATCAGCTGCCCCGCAGGTCCCTAGCTGAGAAAGCTCCAGAGGAAGCCCTGGAAAGGCACTGCAGCCTAGAGAGAGCAGGGAGTAGCCTGGAGTGAAACATCTGGACCCTGTCAGCAAGCTGCACCCACACAGCTAGGAGCTCCAGGGCGCCAGGCTTAGGTTTGTGCCAATCTCACCATGCGCCGGCTGTGCCCTCCAAACTCCTTACAGGAGCCCCCAGTCTCTTTCCTCCCTGCCCCCCAGCTCACCTCTGCGCCTGCCCTCGCTGCTGCCGCTGATTCAGGATCCGCTGATGCTGAGGGTGCAGCTGGGTCATGTGGCTGGGCACACTGCAATGAAAGACAGGTGGCGGGGATGAGGCCAGCAGCAGGAAGGGCTGATGGAGGATATGGCAATGAAGATGGCTGGGGGCAAAGCGGGGGGGGCTCTGACACTCTGACACCAGGCCAGACTCAGGCCACTGCCTTCCAGAGCGGGGGGCTCTGCATCTGGATCTACAAGGGGCCCTGCAGGGGGGTGCCCTGTCTCTTCCCCCCACTGCCCTGGGGGCGACCTGGGCCCATTCCTGGAGGATCCAGGGGAATGTCCCAGCCAGCCTGCTGGCTAATTAAGGAGCAGCAGCACCAGTTCTAGTCCCACCCCCATGATCCTTAGCCATAAGGTGGGAGGGCTGCAACATTGAACCTCAAATCTCTTTGGGGTTCACAGGCCACAATGCCTCCTTAGCCCCAGCTCTGGTAGGGGCCCTGGCACCCAGCTCCCATTTCAGAGCATGCACCAGATATATAATCCAACCTCAATACCAGACTTTGGCCCAAATCCAGTTTGTGGGGTTAGCCGCCCTCCCTGCCCCCACAATCAGTGGGGAGATCAGACAGGCTGGAGCCCTGGACACTTTGGTCACAGGGATCCTGCCCCCTGCCACAGTACCTGAACTTCAGCTGGCAGCCGGCTGGAGGACTGAAGAAGAGAGGGGGCTCCAGAGAGGGAGACATGGGGCCAAAGTGCATGGCCAGGGGCTGCGTTGGGGTGCTGATGTTGCGTGACATGGGCCTAAAGGGGGTCGGAGACACATACCCCGAGCTCTGAAAGAGGAGAGAAGGATTAGGTTTCCAGAGCTGGAGCACCCTCTTCCCCTAACCAAGAAACCCAGGAGCCCTTGAAGGGCCAGTATGGATGTGGGGCACTTTCGTTCACCTGGCATTAAGGAGAAGGAGTGGAATGCCCCATGGCCAGAGGTGCTGGCTCCTCCCTGTCCCTCTGCATGCTGTAGTGGAGCTGCCTCCTCCTCTGCACCCTGCTGCATGCTGATGAGAGCGGCACAGGCTGCATGGCAGGATGGAGCTCCTTCACCCCTCCCCCACGCAACTACCAGGCATTGCCAGGAAACGCCCAGAGCTGGAGGAGTTTTGTTGCGGGTCCATCTCCAGTCAGTCATGTGGACAGCATCCCCTACTAACTGACAGACACTGCCCTAGTTGCCCATTGGGTCTGAAAATTCCTGCTCCCAGCTGTTCCTCAAGGCCCCGGCGGGATCCTGTCCTCAGCCCCATTACACAGACCACAGCTGGGACTTCAGCATCATGCTGCCAAGCCAGCAAAGATAGTCTCTGCTGCCCCAGCGCCAGGGAGGAGTCAGGTGACCTATTAGTGGGCTCCAGGGATACGGTCCAATCCCTTTCCGGCCATACTACAAGGGGAACTGTGCCCAACGTGGGACCCAGCTCCAGGCCCTGAATGGCTCCTAAAGACATACTCTTCCCTGCCCTGTGTCCTGCTGCTGGTTCAGCCTGTCCCTGCTTGCCCTGTCCATGCTGTTCTCTAACCTCCCTGTTGGTAGGGTTACCATACGTCCGGATTTTCCTGGACATGTCCAGCTTTTTGGTCCTCAAATCCCCGTCCGGGAGGAATTTCCAAAAAGCTGGACATGTCCAAGAAAATAGGGAGGCATGGTAAGGGGACCGCCTCCTCCCCGGGCTCCAACTTTCCCGGCTCCCGCCGCTCTCCACCGCGCACCGGGGCCAAAGCAACTTCCCCGCGCAGCAGCAGCCGGAGCCCGGGGAGGAGGCGGCTGTGCACTTGGATGCTGCCCACCGCCTCTGTGCCCCCGCAGATCAGGGGAGTTGTTAGTTTTGCTGCAGCCACTCGCACTCGGACAAAAGATGCTCGGGGGACCCCGAGTGTGAGTGGAGTGGCTGCAGCAAAACTAACAACTCCCCCGATCAGGGCCGGCTTTAGCAAGAGCGGGGCCCAATTCCCCCAGGAATTGGGCCACGCTCCGGCCGGAGCTCCGGCCGGGGTCCTGGGGCTTGGGTCTGGGCTGGAGCCGCTGGGGCCGGAGCCAGAGCCGCTGGGGCCGGGGGTGCTCGGCCACCGGCCGGCGCCGGGACCTGAGCCGAGCTGGGCCGGAGCCGCTGGGATCGGGGCCGGAGCCCCGGGGCCCGAGCCGAGCTGGAGTCGCTAGAGCCGGGGCCAGAGCCGCCGGGGGTGCTGGGCCGGGGCCGAGCGCCAGAGGGAGCCGCTCAGCCAGGGGGGCCGGACTGGGCCGCGCCTCCTTGCGCCCCCCCTCCCGCCACCCCAGCTTACCTGCTGCTTGCCTGTTTCAGGCTTCCGGCGAACATTTGATTTGCGGGAAGCAGGGGAGGGGGAGGAGCAGGGGGGCGGAGCATTCAGGGGAGGGGAGGAGGGGGAATGCGGTGTGCTCAGGGGAGGGGGTGGAGTTGGGGCGGGGACTTTGGGGAAGGGGCGGAGTTGGGCAGGGCCGGGGAAGGGGTGGAGCCTGGGCCCCTTGGAGTGTCCTCTTTTTCCAGTATTGCAATATGGTAACCCTACCTGTTGGTCTTTTCCAAAGCATGATGCCTGGAACTGAAGGTGGGGCTTTGGCTGAGGCCTAGAGCAACCTTTCCACACAATATGCCCCAGGCCACCCTCTAGCTCCTCCCCTATGTACTGTACTTGGTGCTGCCCACCTCATCCAACAGGGGGCAGCAGGACTGAGGAGGCACAGGGGACAAGGGGTATGGCTCCAGGAGAACATCCTCAAGAACAATAACGTGTCGGGGGTGGGGGCAGGATCCCAGAGGAGGAGACATTGAGGATGGCTATGCAGTTTGGAACGAAGAGAAGAGAGGTCTGTAAGAGAACAGCTCTGCAGGGGACTATTTCCTTTCCCCATGAGACAACAGAAAAGGGCACTTGGGATTAAAAGACAGAGCATTTGAGGTGGATGAAGGAAGTGATTCTTTATGTAACCACCTGTGGAACTGCCTGCTGGAGGAGAACAGCTTAGTAAGTTACTAAGAAGGACCAGACAGCAGCACCTGCAGTGACACTGACCAGGATGAAGTTACAAGGGCTGATCCTGCCATTTCAGGGCAGAAAGATTCCTTGGGCTAGGGCTTGCTCAGAAGAAATGCCCTCCCTCCCCCCAGCATAGAGCCGTGCTAGCAGCCCGGTCAATAAGCCTTGACACCTTCCTCAAACTCTCTGGCGCTGCCACATTGGGAGATGGGCTGATCAGCTCCAGTGACGCATGTACGGGTGCAGATTGGAATGGCCAAAGCTTCCTGAGAGGCCCTGGGCTGGGAGGGAAGAAGCAGCTTGGGGTGTTACCTGATTGGGGGTGAAGAGAGGTGAGGCTCTGCGGGACGGCATGTACGGTCGAGGGGAGCCCATGGAGCGGGGCATCATGGGAGACTGCTGCAGGACAGGAGACAGGAATGTTACTGGAAGCAGGAGTCCAGTGGCACCTTAAAGATGCATCTGAAGAAGTGGGTTTTTACCCACGAAAGCTTATGCCCAAATAAATCTGTTAGTCTTTAAGGTGCCACCGGACTCCTCGTTGTTTTTGCGGATACAGATTAACACAGCTATCCCTTCGATACTGGAAGCAGGGCTGCAGCAGGCTAACTGACTGGGCCAGTGTCAGGCCCTGCCCTGCGGCTTGCCCGGCAGCATTCAGCATCAATGGTGTAAATAGCACATGCAAGACAGACACTGTTGGAGCTGCACTGCGGTGAGGGATGGCCCAGAGCATGGGGCAGAGTGACCCCAAAGTGACACGGGGCAGAGGGGGCCAACTGAGGAGTAGCAGGGACGCAGGAGCAGGGGAATGAAGGGCAGAAGGTAGGAAGTCACTTTACCTGCCGCATAAAGCGCTGAGGGAAGGATTTCGGGGACATCATTCTGAAGTCTGGGCGCTTGAGTCCAGGGGAGCCCAGGTACCCCCTCTGCGCTGGGGAGACAAGGAAGTCCAGGTTCATATGCGACATGGGGGGGCCCCTGTCCAATGCCTGGAGAATGGCTTTGTCCTACAGGGGAGACAAAGATAGAGCCTTTCTGCTGTACCCCAGGGTATACCGGGCCACTGCTGGAGGGAGAGTGACAACCCTGGCAGCCCCAAGGACTGGTTTCAGTCAGCACTGCCTGCACCCAAACCAGGTGAGACGGGCCCTCGAGTCCCCCACAATCCCAGGGAGCTGGGAGCACTGACTAAAGGGATCAGCAGTGAGACAGAGCCGACATTCCCAGGGTCACCTCTAGGCCAGGCCCATGTGAGCCTGGGTGGGCAGATGGCTGGACAATCCCTGCTTTGGAAAACAGCTGTATATACCTGCCTGTAGGCCACAAAGCCAGCCAGCCCTGGGGTTTGGAGTCGCAATGGAGTGGGGGTAGGGGAAAGCTCTGCGCACGGGCACCTCCAGCTCTGGAGCTGCTAGAGGGATTGTGGAGCCAATACACTCCCCAGAGCATAGCAAGGGCTGGCTGGCTTTCCCGAGCCCACGAGGAGCGCTACAGCTGGGGATATGCCCTCCCCACAGAGCTCCCAAATTCCACCACAGGATCAGCTCAGCTCTAGCAGGGCACAGGAGTCTTTGCACCAACCCCGCCTCAGGGGGATGGGCCAGAGGAGTCTCTTCCATGCCTCCAAACTCCTTCGGGGCCACCAAAGCCCATTCTCTATCGACCGCCAGTCCTGGAACCCTTCCACGTTCCTACAGCACCTTCAGCCTGAAAGAGCCCTCTGTCCGCACGCCATGCCAGCTCCTGCCCACCCTTGGGACACTCCCCCACCATATCCATCAGTCCCATGTACCAGCCCCTGCCTGAAACTCAGCAAGCCCTTTGGTTTGGGCTCTGGACCCCTGGATGTTCAGGGGAGTGAGGGGGAGGGGACTTCCAGCCTAGGCAGCTTGATGGCTCCAGAGCATTGGATGGTTCCATGCTCACGGTGCCCAGTGATGCCCTCTTCTGGATACGGGGAGAAGGCAAAGGGTGGTGCTCACCTCCAACATGCGGCGCGACAGGATGCTGCTTGGGGATGAGGTCCACGCACCTGAATCTGCAGCCATCTGAAAGGCACTGGGAGTTAGGCTCGATGGAAAGACTTACCGAGCAAAGGTGGAGGGAGCAAGAAGGAAAGAACAGCTGTAGTCCCAGCATCTGCCAGCAGGAGGCACTGCAGAGAACAGCTTAGAAACACTGAGTGAACCTACAGCTACTCCAGGCCTGGCCTCTTCCAGCAGGAGGCGCTGTAGAAGCTACAACTATCAGGGGAGCTCCCAGCCACTCACCCTAGTCCAGTGGTCCCCAACCTTTTCCGGGTGGCAGGTGCCGGATGACGAGCCACCGAGGACCGTGGCCGGCGGACAAGCATCTGCCAAAATGCCGCCAAGAAGCGGCAACGTCAAGAGGCGTCGCTGCCAAAATGCCGATGAAAATCAGCAGCATTTCAGCGGCGACACCTATTGGTGAGGCTGCTTTTCAGCGGCATTTCAGCGGCGACACCTATTGGTGAGGCTGCTTTTCAGCGGCATTTCGGCGGATGCTTGTCCGCCGGCCAGTATGTGGGCGCACCCGCGGGCACTGTGTTGGGGACCACTGCCCTAGTCTCTTCCAGCAGTGGGTGCTGCAGGTACAGGGCCAGCAACTGAATCTCCCCATTGCTCCAGTCCCAGCCCCCTCCCTAGACGAGATGCTGTGAGGTGCAGGAGCACTGGTTGTGGGGGAGCCCCAACCTCCTCCCATCCCCCCTCCCCCAGCCAGCAGCACTCCAGGGAACCGGGACAGGCAGGGGGAAGGTGACCTCACTCTTACCAAGTCATCGCCCTCGAACTCTCCCCAGGTGGAGCCGATCCTGCTGTCGAGAACTGCTGAGTCCAGGCTCTGCAGGGCACAGAAGAATTGCACTCAGTCCCCGCGGTCTGGGGAATTCAGCTTCCCTGCCTCCCTCTGGACCTGGGGGAGAAGGAAGGGGACTTGCCCCAGGGAGAGTGTGGGGGAGTCACTTGCTGCCAGCATGGGGAGGATCTGTCCTCAATCCCAGAATGGCTGACCCTGGGGTCAGTGAGAGGAAGGGGCAATGCACATGGCCATCTCCCAGCAGACCCCCTCCCCCGCCTCAGTTGGTATCTTCCCAGTTCCCAGGGGCTGCTAAAGTTAATGGGGAGAATCCCGGTGTGCGTGGGTGGGAGGGACCCCCTGCCCAGACTGCTGGGAGGAGACAGCACCACTCCCCAGACACTCATGGAGAAAGGACTAAATCCACATGCCCTTCTGAAGCCACCACCCCCGGCCTTTCTCACCTCCAGCGTGGGCTTGCTGTGCACAGCTCTCATCACTGCTGGGTCTCCCAAATCATTCTGCTCCTCGTTGTCCTCGTCATGCTGCTCCTCTTCTTCCCCTTCTTCTTCCTCCTCCTCCTGTTCATCTACCCCTATCTCCTCCTCCATGTCAGCAAAGTCGTCATGCCGAGCCCCAGGCTCTGCCTCACCTTCTTCCCCTGCCTCTTCCATCTCCTCCAGCATGGGCTGCTCCTCTTCTGCCCCCAGGCCAGGCTGCTCAGTGGCCTTGTACTCATCCTCCTCCTCCACCGCTACCTCTGCCACCGCCGCTGCCTCATTTTTGCCCACAAGACTCAGCTCGGGGCCTTTAACTGGAGGAGCCAGGGCTTTTGCCACTTCCTCTTCCATGGAGTCTCGATCTTTGGAGGAAAGAAAGGAGGGTTCCAGTCAGGGGCAGGGAGCTGGGGGATTCCACAGCAGCTCCACTGCCTGTGGTGTGCCCAGTCTGAACTGGGGGAGATGCTGCCCTGACCAACAGGGGGAGCTAGATGCTGGGAAATTGACCTTTGAGCTTCCTGCTCCAGAGAGCAACTCCCCAGGTGTGGGATCGCTCCTGCAAGTAATACCCCCAAGCCCCAGCCATCAACACCTCCCAACAAGCCCAAGTCACACCCCAGCTGCCCAACCTTTGTGTTCCCCATTGCCCTCTCTTTCCCAAGTCTGCTCACCCCCCGTGCCCTGATGCTCATCCTCTCCTGCTGCCTCCAAGCCCTACCTAACCCAAACGTCATTTCATTGTACAGGTCAATCTCCTCATCTTCCTCCGCCATTTCTTCCAGCAAAGGAGCATCTTCTGCCAGGAGATAGTCTTCTAGGATCTAGGAGACAGAGCGAGATGGGGAATAGGGCGTCCCTGCCCCTTCCGGGAGCCAGCTGGTAAGGAAAGAGACATCCTGACCTGCCCCAAGCCAGAGAGGACGGTGAGCACCCATCTGCTCCCCCAGCCAAAGAAGGGGTGCTGAACTAATACCACAGTATTGACAAAGATCTTCCTCTAGCCAAGCCCCAGATGGGGCATGTCCTGCTGGCTAACAACAGGTATTTAGAGATCCCTGACAGCCCCTACTGCCAGGGCCGGCTCCAGCTTTTTTGCCACCCCAAGCGGTGAAGAAAAAGAAAAACCCGATTGAGCTGCCGCTGAAGTGCTGCCGAAGAGGAAGAGACGGAGTGAAGGACCCGCTGCCGAATTGCCACCGAAGACCCAGACGTGCTGCCCCAATAACGGATGGAGTGATGCTCCTTTCTATTGGCCGCCCCAGGAACCTGCTTCCTTCGCTGGTGCCTGGAGACGGCCCTGCCTACTGCTAATCCCAGACTCCTGGCACCCCCAAGGCACTAGCTGGAAGGGTGATGGCAACTTAGTCTACCGGCTTTTAATCTTTCAGCTGCTCCACTGAAATCAATGGGAAGTTTACCCTGCTTCAGTAGAAATTAACTGTGGGGCCCTGAGCCTACAACTTGTTTCAGAGACTCAGAGAATCCATGTGGACTTTAAGAGAGTTCTGTGTGGGCACAGGATCCAACCACATGGTACAAGTTGGAGGACCGGGGTCTCAGTCAGTAAAGCTCCTGTCACTGAGTGGGAAAAGCAATGCCAGAGCTGTTAGAAACAAAGTTATGTCTGTCCTTTTGTTTAACTAGCCACTGGCATGTGCAGTTCCTCAGTTTGTACACACAACTGCTGTACTTGCACAAATTAGGAGCCCAGTTCTACACCTTCACTATGTGATAATGTAGCTCTCAAAGTATCACTGGTAGGTTTAAGAGTTATCACCCAGCTGATATTAATGAGGGAAGTTCATGCTCCTCAAAGCTAACACTGTCTACAGACTCGGGACAATCGTGCATTGGTTTCACACAAGTCCCATTTAGAAGGTTTGCTTGGCAACCAGGAGGACAAGAAGTTTTTCTTAAAATGAAAGTGGAGATTCTGCAGAACCTACATTGGTCAAGGGGCTGAAATGAATCCACCAAGGGGGTCAGAGACAGCCCCACTGATATTGGACCCAGAGGAGGTGATGTGCAAATCTGATGCAGTGAACCAGGGAGCCAATGGAGGGAGTGATGTAGTTTGAACAGCAGCAGAACAAAGGATCTTCAGTAGCAGCATTTTTGACAGATCCCAGGGAGCAGAAGAGGGAAGGCCAGAGAGGATGTTACTGTGATAAAGGCAAGAAGTGACCACTACATGGAGAAGGGGTTTAGCTGTGAGGACAGCAGGGAAAGGGGGACATTAGACAGGAGACAGGCTCTAGCAAGAGGCTGGATATGGGGTAGAAGAGCCAAGAGGCTGCCCAGATCATAGGCCTTGGGGATGGGGAGAGGTGTGAAGCTGCCTGATGGGGAAACAATAAGAAGCTCCATCCTGATGAGGGAGAGGTAGCGGTGGGAATGCCCAAGAAGCAGCTGGAAAGAGGCGTTTGGATGAAGGAGGAAAGGTGGATTTGAGAACCAGCCTCACAGAAGCAGTAGCTGAATCTGTAGGACACGAAAAGGAGCCGAGATGATCCTGGCTTAGTGCCGTGGAGAGGCCCTTTAGTTTCATACCATTAGACTCTAAACTGGGACAAGCAGCCTTAGTCTGGGAAAGGCTAAGAGGCAAAACCAAGGACCAGGCTGTGAGCTAGGAAAAGCAAACTTCAGACTAGACATCAGGATAGACATCCCACGAGGGGACCAAGATACTGGCTTAACCAGTCAGAGCAGGGCTGGAGCCACTGAGTGGTCAAGTCACACCGGTCATCTGGGGCTACACAGCCATAGCCCAGTGGCTGGGCATGCATGGGCACTTGACTCAGCACCACACCAGGGGTCTCACCTGGGGCCAAGGGGAGTAGCTCTGCCCTTGCTGGGAGTTCCCCACCCATGAGCCTCGCTGCTTTCCTGCCTGGGGCACTTGCCAGGGCCAGTGGCTGCCCTGAGCCTGGGGGCTGGTAACTGCCCCCTGCCCTGCACAGCCAGGCACCTGGGGTCCGAGAGGCAGAGCCAAAGGGTAGAGGAGCTGGAGCAGGCCAAGGGGTGACTGCCAGGCAGGCCAGGGGGCTCCAGGTGGGGGTGGGGCGGGACAGGACAGTGCAGCTATCCAGAAGGTGATGTCCTGGCACTACACAGAGGGAGCTCTCCCCTGACCCAGACGCCCCCAAAGCGGGAGATTCTGGGCTCCTGGGGTGGGGGAAGAACCGGGACGGCAGTAGAGAACACTTACAGCCAGCTCACTACTCTCCGCCATCGCGCCGTTCCCACCCACCGAGATTTCCCTCTATGGGGCCGGGCTCCGGCCGCCGGGCGGCTTTTAAAGGGCAGAGGCAAGGGGAGCGAGGCTGCGCCACTGCGCATGCGCGGAGCGCACTCATCTTTACAACATGGCGGCGTGCAGTTAAGTAAGCAGGAGCGTGCACCTGCGCAAGTGTGAGGCTGCGCTGCCTCACCTGTAGCCCCTCTCGGCAGTGACACCGTCCAGGAGCTCCTATTCCTCCTCCCCGTTTCTGTGTAGTGGTGCAGTCTGAGTTCCCCTGAGGGGGGCGGGTACTCTAGCCTGTGTATCAGGTGCGGGGCCAGACTCTGCCCTGGCTCCTCGCAGGTAGGAGGTGCACGTGCAGCCCCAGGGCTCCCCAGGATCCCATCCCCAGCTTGGCTGCATGGAGGGCCAGGGTGGGTTCTGATGCCATGTTGGCCCCAGCGGTACCTGTTCTGGGGGTTCTAGGGTTGCACTGGCCATGGTGCATGGCTGGGCCCTGAACCCCTGCAGTGGGGGACTTTGTTGACCCCAGGGTTTGGCAACACCAGGCTCTAGGGGGTTCCTATCAGTGGAGCTCTGGGTACCTGCAGCACTGGGGTATGAGCAGCAGTCAGGGTTGGAGCAGTGCTTAATTTGTGCCAGGGCTGTGCCCCAGTACCTCTGGGCTTAGCAGTTCATAGCCACAGCACCGCTGGGCTTGCTGCATCAGTTATGAATGCAAAAAAAATTGCTTGAGCACCGCCACCTCTTTCATTACAAATTAAGCACTGGATTGGACGCTCCTGCTGTCATTAGAGTGGCAGCGGCTGCATCCATGATTACCTCCAGTCAAGCCGCAGTGAGGAAACTCACCCTCAGGGTGGGGTACTTTCCAGCAGTCACCCTCCTGCCTTGCACACACTGCAGCTGGCAGGCTCAGGGCTGGCCATGTGATCCCAAGAAAACATTTCTGTTGGTGCTAGCTCAGATCCTTAAGCAACTGACTTCCGGTGTCACCCAGCTAGTTACAGTTCAGAACCCAACATCTCAGCGCACACAGACTGAGTTGGGGGGTCTCTTCCGTGGGTTCTAACCTGCTCGCATGTAAAACCAAGGTTTAACTGGTGAAGCAGGATTCAACTAACCATATTGTCTCATTGTTTCCTTGTGCTTCCCCCATCTAACTGCCTGTGTCCACCTCTTGTCTTATATGTAGACTGTGGCTCTTTGGGGGCAGGGACTGTCTCTTTGTTCTGTGTTTGTACCACACCTAGCACAATGGGGTCCAGGCCTGTGACTCAGATTCCTAGGCATTACCACAAAACAAAAAATTAAAAGTTGTCACCCAGATAACCACAGCCAACTTTGTAGAAAGAGATGGTATTCCTAAAAATACCATTGGTAGAATAAAATAACACACTATGGATCTAAATCACAATTTGAAAATACATTGTCATTTAACACCCCTGAGGTTGAGTAGCATTTGGCATCTTTGTCTGTCCCAAGCTGTACTGATTATTAAACTTCTGCAGGAGATGGGACCAGCGGAGAATGGGAGGAGGAAAGATGCAGCAGAACTCTTCCAATAGTACTGCAGCTTTTGTTACCTAAGCTTGAATCTAGCTTGTATTCACTGCCTCCGGTTTCAGCTCTTTATCTGCAGAGGGCAGTATTAAGGAAGGACTTACCAGTTCGGCAGAGTTTTAACCCCGACCAGTGTTTAAAAATAAGTCACCAGTTAACAAATGTAATCACCATAGCATCGGAGATATTTTAGTATCGTATCAGAGATAATGGAGTTGTCAATAGTGGTATGTCTACACTGCAATGTAAGCTCAGACTCAGATTCAAACTCTACCCCCCTACCCTTCTGTCTATACACAAATCTCTTGGGCTCAAACTTGGGCCCAGGGTCCTAGGATCCCACAGGTGGAGGATCCCAGCCCAAGTCCAGCTAGGACCCAGGGTTCAAACCCTATTGTTGTGCAGCATGGACACAGCAATGCCAGAATCAAGCCCTGAGAGTCTGCCAATGCGATCTCACAGTCCCGTGGGCCAGTGTTCTTTGTCCCTTCTATCCCACCAGTCACCAAATGACTCCCAGACAACAGAGGCAACCCCCTTTGTTCACCAACAGCTTAGTGCTTAACCCTTCCATTTTATTCTGACTGCTGAGCTGCAAACACAGTGAACCTTCTCCTGCGTTTGCAGTGGCCACCAACCAGAAGTCCTTTGCTAAGCGCGCTGCTTTCTGGTCACGGAAGCACAGCCAGATTTTGGTAAATCTCTGGTGTGAGGTGAGCAAAACATTCAATTTAGTAAGAATACCAGGAAACTCAAGTAGACTAAGGTGGGATATCTTATCCAACATGTGTTCAGCTGTTTAATCAGCAACACTAGTGCTTTATGGGTAATACAGACTTTTGGGGTGTGTTTAAAATGTCATGTTTGGTAAATACAAGAAATTTCTTTGAATCATATTGACTTATTTGCAGACAGAATCCTTTCAGGGATTCCATATCTGGCAAATGCAGCTACTGTTCAAGCAACCATCACTTGATGCTGACAATTATTGTCTGGAATCTAGTCTTCCATTTTTGATTATTATTTAAGAAGAGGTGGTGAGACAGCTGAGTCTCTGGTGCCTCAGATCTCCCTGAACTTTGTCAGTCGGGGATCTGATCTAGGAATGCAATGGAGACTGCAGAGGTTGGACTTGTGGATGGTCTCCACTAGTGATGGAGGAAGAGGATGTTTGAGGGGTGGGCGATTTTGGGGCTTTATTTTCTGATTGGTAGTTTTTGGTTTGGGGTGTGAGAAGAAGCTGCTGTTCTTACAATTTAATATATAGTAGAGCCGTTTCTTGTTTTGTATAGCAATCAGAATAAATACAAACATTAATGTGTGAATCAGATTGGTACCCATCAGTTTAGGATGATAAAGATTTTGTTGCAGACAAATCAGGGTGCATGGTCTGCCTTGGTCTCAACATTTCGTGTGGTATCACTGGTGATTATGAGATAGGTTGGATGCCTTGCCCCTGATCCTGCAATGAACTTTGCACAAGTAGACCTCTGCAACTACACAGAGCCCCTTTGGTGCAGAGCAGGGGTGCCGGTAAAGGGGAGCCGGGGGCTTTGCCCTCCCACTTTTTACAAACTGTAAGGGCGAGCGATGGGGGGAGAGGGTAGAGTGGTGCAAGGGCAGGGGCTCAAGGCAGCGCGGGTGGGGTGGGGCCATGGTTCGGGTGCTGGTGTCGTCCCCCGCCACACTTTTAGGGAGATTCCGTTGCCCCTGGTGCAGGGGCTCACCCACTGAGGCTCCACATGTCTGCCGGGGTCTGGTCTTCACGGCGCTCATTGCAGGGCTGGGACCTTTGAGGCTATTGGATAGCAGGGTGATAAAGAATGTCTCTGGCTCCTTGCAGTGTTGCAGGCCCACATGCACATGCAGTGTGATTTTGAGGAATGCAGCTGGCATTAGCATGTGGATTGAATCCCTGGTGGGGCAGGAATTCACCTTTTTCCTTCTGATTACATTAAGGCCTTGGCTACATTGGCGCTGTACAGCGCTGCAACTTGCTGCGCTCAGGGGTGTGAAAATGCACCCCCCCGAGCGCAGCGACTGCAGCGCTGTAAAGCGCCAGTGTAATCAGCGCCTGCAGCGCTGCACGCTCGCTCGCAGTGCTGCAAGCTATTCCCCACGGAGAGGTGGAGTACTTGCAGCGCGACTACAGTCGCGCTTCACATAGCCGCGGCAGCGCTATGAATCCCCAAGTGTAGCTAAGGCCTAAGAGTTGGTCTCGGTGCCCCTGAGCTGTGGCAGGGACACTGTTGGTAGCAGATCCTCTTCCAGGGCCAGAGGGACCCTGAATCTTCCTGGAATTCTGTAAACTTAAAGCAGAGACTTCAAAGTGAAAAGGCAAGAATTAATGAGAGAAAAAATGGGGCACCTTCCTTATTCCCATCATAGGGGCAGGGCGGGAAGGAAGGGGGTGAGCTAGTCATGGAGTGCAGGTGAGTTTACATGGCTAGAGTTGGGATTGGGTTGGGAAGGGGTCTTCTTCTCAAGGAGTGAGAGGGTTTGGTAGCTATGATGAAAAACTCATGGCATGAGTCAGGTTGGGATGCTTGTTAAAAGTGATGCTCTGTCAGACTTTCTCTGCTACTCACTGGCTTTGCCTCTGGACCTTGACTCTTCCTCCTGTGTCCACCATGGCCTCCTCAGCACATTAAAGAGACCAGAGCTTGGTGTGGGACGGTTGGCTCAAGTGGCTTATACTGAAACTGGGCCTCACCCACAACACTGGGCATCTGGTCACCCTAGTGTAAGGCTTTTTCACTTGTCCCAAGGAAGCTTCTCTCTGCACCATGCCAGTCAGACACAGAATGCCAAGTCAGGGTTGGATACTCCTCACTTTCAATTGATTCCTCCTTCCGCTATCAGGGTTTGGTGCCAATTTGCACAAGAGTTTCTCAGGGCTTGTCTACACTGGCAAGTTTTGTTGCCAAAAACTGCCTTTTGATGACAAAACAGCGATAGCGTGCACAGTGCAATAGGCTTGTGCGAAAAGGGCTATGATCCCGAGTCCTGCTGCCCAGGTGGGGAGAACAGCCGCCGCCTGGCCCCGCGGGCCACCCTCCTACTCTCCCTCCAGGTACTTCGCCCGAGTCCTGCCTGCGCTCGGGGCCAGGCCGGACTCTCACTCACCCCGGCCCCGCGCTCC